GGACGTCTCCTCGGGTCCGCCTGAAGGAGGTGCGGGAGCAGAGCAGCAGGGGTTTCTCGCAGGTCAGGGTGAGGCATGTTTGGCAGGGGAGGTATGTGGGAAGCTTGCTCTCGCTTGGGCCCTACCTGTCCTGTGGATAAGAGAGGAATTTGTTCTCCAGGGCTGTCAGGACAGAAGATAATTAAAATGGAATATGAGTATTTTTGTCCTTCTGGGTTATAGCAGTCCCAGTTGTAAAGAGTATCCTCCACCCAGTGGAGCAAAGGTACGGTATCTTTCACCTTGCGGTTGCGAGCGGGATAGCTGCTCCGGCTGGCGCGGCGTCCAGAGCAGCTCTGCGTTTGAAAGGGCCGACGTGGACGCTGTCCTCCGAGCCCGTGTGCTCAGCAAAGCAGAGCGCCCTTGCGTTGCCAATACACGTTTTCTCCTTTTATGAGCACGTAACCAGCTTGACCTGGCTATTTTCTCAATGCTCTGGAAATGCCTCTTATGCAAAACAGGAAGCCAAAGCGGTGCGATGCGTGGAAGGGCCCCGCTCCGGTCGGCTTTGTCTGAGCTGACTTCTGTGTAATGTGCTTTGCACCGAGCTGCTGCTCCAAGTCTCCTGTCATATTCTTCCTGGCTTAGAGATGAGGGAGACCACAGATATACTTTACAAAATAACGTTAGCCCAATTAAAAATGGCAGCGGGAGTCAGTCTCCAGAATTTAGGTCTCTGTTAGAACTACTGGATTTTGAGTTCCACAGAGGTCAGGTGGGTTCAGAGTCAGGGTTTTGGTTGGGCTCAAGACGATGTTAAGGACAGCTGCAAAGTTTGGACCCAGATTCTTATTCCAAACCTTCTTCCCCAAAATTCTGAAGTACTTGGGTCCAAGGTTTTGGCTTTTTCCCATCTTTAGTTGAACTTGTTATTTTGTTCTTTTTTTTATTCTGCTGCAGCTTTAGAATCATAAGTGCAACTAGAGCTCTTTGCTGAGGCTGTTGATGAATTAGGGGTGTTTCATATGCTTTCGATGAATTAACGCTGATTCCCATCTTTATTAAGTGGAGCTTCTGTGAGAGTGATGAGCAAGAATTTGAAATTTCAGTCACGTTTTCTACATTTTAGGGCAAATGTTTGTCACAATTAGAAATATAAGTCTTAGTAGGCAGCAGAGTGCTGACACCAGACGGCAGCTTTCTTTGGCTGCTCTAGCTTTAGGCTGTTTTTCTGCAAGTCCTCAAGTCCTGTAAATTTGAGAGATTTCCCAGAAAATAGTTTTGGCTGTTGGATGGGCTTTTCCAGGGAACACTTGAACAACGTATGAGGAAATAGGAAGAGTCCAGACAGTGGCTTCACAGAAAACTCTTCACTGTCAGGCTTTTTGTTTCACAAGGACTGGCTGCGAGCAGGTCTCCGATTATTGCTGTATGGCCTCGTTTTTAGCATGCTGCATCTCCTGGCGGTGCTGGGCAGCCGAGTGACTTCTGGAGTCCAGGCTGATGGGCATTACCCCGGAGCGGAGCCTGGAGGTCACAATTCAAGTCTCTCTGGTTATGCAGGTCACGAGCCTCCTTCCATCAGCCCTCCTCCCTGTCGGTAGTATCTCATTCGCTAACCGGCGTTGGGGTCGCTTACTGTACAGCCTCACTGGACCCAGAACAAATTTCGGCCCAAAGTTAGGGTCTTCTACATTTTAGACCCAATTCTATCATCTGTAATCTCAATAGGGGAGTAGTGAATAAGGAGGAAGTGATGTATCATGAAGTGAGGCCAATAATCTGTCACAGCCATTTGTTCATATCCGGTACTGTATTATAATTCCCCTCTGTTAAGAAGACTGTCTAGAATAGGGCGTACTGTGTGTCAGGATGAAAGCAAGCTTGAAAGAAAAGGAGGGAGTTGTCCAAGATGTTGGGAGGTAGGAGGGAAAATGTTTCTTTGGCAGACTTTTGTGGAGGATATTTGCAAAAGGCCTGTGAAGTGACCAGCCCTAAACTTTGAGCTTTAAATTAATTATCAAAAATAAAAATGTTCCTCTCTTGCCTGACAAAATACTTTATTTTTGGTTTGATTGGGTTAGAAACAAAATGTTTCATTAGGAGATTAAAATTGTTTCTTGTGGACATAACACTTCTAGTTTACCTCCTCCTTTTCAGAGACTCTAAAGCCAAATGGTTTCTGCTGTGAAGTCCTCCTATCTTTGGCAAAGAGTCTCTTCTGTGCAGAAGGCGCAGAACACACCAGCAGGCGCACACACTGGGTTCCTATGCTCTGTTTGTTGCAATCAGTCATTTCCACTGGTTTGTGCATATAAAATATAGGCTCAGGTCGTACCAGTGTGGGTGTGATGCTGGGGAGCAGAGAGACTGGACCAAGCTCCAGTGCCTGCTGCTGTTCTTTGGGGCATCGCTCTTGCCAGATGGGATACTCAGGCTATTTGTTTGCTTTATTTCAGAAATCGAAGCCAAGAAAGCTTGTGACTGGCTGCGAGCAGCAGGATTTCCTCAGTATGCTCAGCTTTATGAAGGTGAGGGCTGCCTCTTCAGTTCTCTATGTGGGGAAAGGGTTAGATATATTTTTCTCCACAGTGACGTGTCTTTGAAAGCCGAATATGCTGCTGTGTGTGACGAGCAGACAGCCCTCCACTGCTGTGCTGCCATTCAGCGGTTCCTGATCCCAGTCCCCCCCCCCACCAAGTCCTGGGGAGCTGCGAGCACTCATGGGCTGAGGGTGTGAATAGTGCTTAGCTCCTGGGAAGAAGGAGAGAGCTTTGCACACAAGGCAGTGCTCCTGACCCCCAGCAGGAAGCATTCAAAACCCATTGCCCCTAAATGATTCTACAGAGAAAGAACAAAACAAATTCAGCAGGTCTCCAGCTTCTCATTGGCGTGAGTCCTGTCAGTAGGATTAGGATGCTCAGAGATGCGTGCGTTTAAGTTTCAAATGCCAGGTGGAACAAAGGTCGCTGTGCTCGTGTGTCTCTGTGGCAGCAGTGGTGCTCTGATCACAGGCACGCTCTAATCAGCCAAATACAGGCTCCTGGTGGCGGGAGCTGGCGTGGGGAGGTCTTCTGATGGTCTCCACAATGCCTTTCATTTCAAGGCTTTCAATTACCCCCAGTGTGGAGGACCAAGAAGTTCCTGGCCTGTCCATATTGTTCTATATTGTATATCTTAACTAAATACCAAAGGTGACTGCAGGGAGAGGTTACAGAGCACTGGGGAGAGGAGAGGATAAAGAGGATTGTTTACTAATTATGTGATTATTTGTTAAAACTTTAAGCCTCCAGACCTGAGTCTGGAGAACTAGCCATGCTATTAACGTTTCTGCATTCCTGAACTTTCCTCTGTCCTTCAGGCAGTGCTGCTAGAAAGTTCCCAAGGTGCCTGGTCAGGCCAAGGGAAGACAAGTTTTGGATAGCTGATCATGTCTCTAAGTGGTTTAATAAGTGTTTGCAGCGAGTGTTAATGCACAGGCAGCCAATGTAGGTAATGCAGAGAATGAACGTTTCCTTCCTCCCTCCCTGCTTACGTGTCCTGCATACTAGTGCCCTGCCCCAGTATATTATTTGACAGGAAGGTCTATGATTTCTGAACATGCAGCAAAACCTTGCCTGGAGCAGACTGGATCTCCACACTGTAAGGTTCCCAAAGGGAGGATGATGTTGGAAGGGATGGGTAGATATATCCAGTAGACTTTCTCACATGTTTGCTGCTAGGTACACACATGGACTTCAAGCACATGACAGAGACTGCTGGTCCCTGTTGGGGGAGGACCAGTGCTGAAGAACCACAGCTCCAGCTCAGCCTAGGCCCAGCTAGAACAATAGCTGGAAGCTTGGCCTCCAGACACGGTGCATAGCCAGCTATTGTTCAGCTTGGACACTTCCACTGCACCCCCCTCCCTTCCCTGTAACACATGCACAAAAAGCGTGCTCTTGCCTCCTTGATGATTCTCTGCAGGCTGCCTGTTTGTTTCTGGTTTCTATTTTAGGGGGCAGCCATCTAGCATAGCCATGTGCAAGGACTACCCAGATTCCTGTAGGTGAGACCCCCGCTCCAGGTGTCTGCCCTGAATAACGCTTGTAACTCAGAGAAACAAGAATCAGGTGCTAGATGCTGGAGTCTGTGAATAAACCAACCGTTTTTCCAGTCTCACTGAGCAAAAATTTCCACATCCTATGACTGTTTCATTCTGTTTTTCTCCACAGCTGGCAGGGCTCAGCTTTCCCTTGATAATTGCACTCAGTAGCTTCATTAACAACCAGACTTAGACACTCGTGGTTACTTGTTAAAGCCCTATGAAGCTGGTCACAGCAGAGCTTTCTCCAAGGCGAAAGACATGAACAGGGAATTTGATGGAGGCCCTGTGGGGCTTTTCTACCCTGCTCTAACTTACCTGAAAAATGCTTCACCTTTGTCACCACAGCAGTAACTGAAAAGCCTCGAGGTGGCTGCGTTGCCCAAAGATTCTGGGCATGTACTGCCTTTGACTGGTCCTCTAACCAACCACTGTCCAGAGGCCAGCATGCATGTCTGCCTTTGGAGACCCAACCCACGGCCTTTGATGAGGGGGGAGGACTTGAATGAGATGCTGGAACTACCACCCTGCCATATGGCTTTCTTGACCCTGGGGGATTAGTGGGTGAAGGGAGTCATAGAGAGTTCAAGAGAGCTCAATGTATGTATAATGTAATGTTTTATGGGGCACTAAGATATCTCTTGGGCAGTATTTGGGAGGCCATCGCTCTCCAAAAAAAGCCTTGGGCTGAGGCCATGGGTTTCCTCCACACCTGACATCAGCAATGTCTTCCTTCAGGTTTTTCTCTTTTGTGCTTTAGGGAACTGGGCATAGGCTCCAGATTTTGTGCTTACTGCTGCCAGATATGCTGGGGGACTTTGGGCAATAAATTATTGTGGTCATGCCTTTGGCAAAGCGAGGTCTGATCCTTGCATGGCAGATGAGAGAACAGCATAGATGGGTGGTGGCTGCCGCTCTGTGAAAAAAAGCAAACTTCAGAAACAAAAGGATCCCTGCTGAGCTGGAATGGTGTATTGTCTTGAGGCTCTCCTTTGAGCAGCCTGTGGGAGATGGTCAGTTCCTCTACTTTTACACGTACCACGAACTTGCTAATTTAAAGCTCCCAGGGTAAACTAGTGCCTTCAGAGACACGGGCATGAGCAAGAAGCCTCTGTTGTTCAGAGGGGAGAAGATAGTGCAGTAATCCACGCTCCCTCTCCTCCGCTCTCCTCCTTTCATCCAGGTGCCAAGACGAAAATCAGCCTCTGTATTTATCCTCACTGCACTGCTTGCAGCTCAGGACTCCCTGAAACAGGACACAGCCTGGGCTCCAGATGTGTTCAGGCTGGGAACAGAGCTGCTCGCTGGTACCTGTGTGGGTGTGTGAGAGCGCTGTGAAGGGCTGGGTTTTATTTCTGGATCAGCTAATCTCTCAGAGCACTAAAACTGGGCTAGCACCTCCACCCCAGCAGTCTTCATCCATGAGGTGTGCTTGTTCCAGGTATGCCAAGGTCCCCAGGCACAATAACCTGGGATTAGTTGTCCTGCAGGGGAAAATGGCCTGAAAATGAGCAGATGAGACAGCTGTCTGCTGCGTAAGGGATGTTCCCTTCTCAGTGTTGTGGCTCATGTCGCAATCTCATCTGCTCCCAGTCCAGGGGGATTCGTTTCTACCCCTCTCCCCTGTTTGTCAAGCTCATCACTCTGACCTTTGCATTTCACTTGCTCTCATCACCACTGTACCGGAGCATCGCTGATTCTCTTCTCTCCATCCCCTTATTGTCCTTTCTTTTATTCTTTGCTAGCTGCCTTCTGGGGCTGCAGGCTGGGAGGCAAAAAGTGTCCCTTCAGGAGGCAATGTTACTGGGAGACCTCCTTGCACGTTTGGAGTTTGCAGGTTGAGTCCTACTTGTGAAGAGCAAGCTGAATGAGGTCGTCCACTGTTTATAGGTTACCCTCTAAGGATGACATTGCTTCTACTCCCACTGCCACGGCTGTCATGGGTAGCTGCTCCCAGTGGCAATACGATACCCAAGCCTGGCTGGCTTCTTTGGACTCTTACAGTCCAGAAGCCTCCCACACCTTTCCTCTTTACTGCTCTCCTGTTTTCCTCCTTTGCTTTGTTATTCCTTTCAGTGTCTGCCTTCTCCCACGCTTGCGGTTTGTTGTTGCACCTGGTAGAAGGGCTAGCTCAGAAAGAGTGACTAATTTTCATCTTGCTCTTCTCCTCAGACTCGTTGTTCCCGCTTGACATCATTGCTGTGAAGAAAGACCACAGTTTCCTGGACCAGGACTCGCTCAAATCTCTGTGCAGGTAAAGTTTCCCTTGAGCTAGAATAATCTCTGCAGAAAATTGAAGAAAAACAAGGACTTGCCTCAGACAAAGGCTCGCCACAGTCACCTTGTTGCTGTGTTGGGCCAGTGCTGGGCTAACCCTGAAATTCTCTGTGGGGCATCACCAGCACAGTGGGCGCTGCAAGGTAGATTGCCTCCTACCTAGCCTGGCAGTGACGTGGTGTGGCTTGGAGAAGTGGCTTCTGAAAGGGGCTACATGTGTGCAGTGAGGGGTTTGGATGCTTTATTCTTTCAAATCTGGAGAAGTTGCTAACTTGTTGGATGAAGTGTTGTGCTAGAGAAACTGCAGTATTATTTTGAATATACAAAGCCCCTAAAGAACAGGAGCATTTACCAGCAATTCTTCTCCTCTTTGTTTAACTTGCTGGCTGTATTTTATGTCTAGGTAACTCCAGCTCTGTTCAGAAATGAATCAGACAGAGGTAAACTCTAAAACTGAGCAGAGGTGCAAGGAGAGACACATTTTTACTGTACCAGGTACCCATGCTCTGTTCTTTTACCACTAGCTTCATATGCACATGGTCCTAAGGGGAATGAGGCATGTTCCCCCAAGATCTATTTTGTATAGCTTTATTTTGCAAGGATGCTTAATAATGCCCCTGAGAATAAAACAGTTTTTAGAAACCACATCTCTGGGAAACAGTGAAGGGTTTTTGCTCGCTTGTTTGCATATGCCAAATTCAGGTCAAGGTGCCTGTGGCTGAAATTCTATCTGTGGACGGATTTTTCACTTGGTCATCTGGTTCTTGCCTCCTGCAAATAAAAGAAAATATGCAGTGAGGGATTTGCTGAGCTTTCGTGCAATGAGAGGTTCTACGTGAAAATTACATGCTGTTAATTAGCCCTTTGAGCAGGTTTTAGGAGCTGGGTTGTGGGTATTCAGTGGTGGTAGGCTTGTTCAGGAGTGTCTCCAGTGTCAATTTTGGACTGTTCAATTACTTTGTATGGCTGAAGACTATTTTGGTAGATTCATCCTCTTTTCCTGGAATAAACATTTTGTTGGTTGTTCTGACTAAGGATTTCTCTTTTAATGAAGTGCGTGGCTAGAGGCCTTAGCTTAGTTTGTGTGAGTAACATTAGTCATCCCAAGTGCGTGGCAACAAAAACTACATGATATGTTTTCCATAAAGATGCACTACTCTTTGCAACAACAAGGTTGAAAATAGCTCCAAGAGATGCCACCGTATATTTTATTTTGGCAGAGAATGTGTTATGGTATTTGAGAGATGAACTCTGTAAATGCTAGTGTCATTACCAAGAAAAAATATCTAAAAGAGGGGAGACTTCGTATCTTCCATGATCTCTGACTGTCAAGTGAGGTTGTGCATCGATCTGGCAGTGTGAATGACTCAGGTCTCTACTTTGGCTTTTTGGAACACATCATTACGTCTGCAACCCCACACTGACTCCATGATGAGAAACCGAGTGGTACTCAGCACGACTAATACTTCTTGCGTCCTTCTCACACACGCTTTAGTGTAACAGAAGGGACAAGAGGTAGGAACTTTATCCGTTATTTATTTATTTTTCCAATACAGAGGCTGCTCTGATGGGCAGGGAGGGGATCCCCTATTTTAGTTCCTCTGGGTGCATTGCAAGTTCTTCTTGTTTTTTTTTGACTTGCTGCAGTCATAGCCGGGTGGGGAAGCTGAGGAGCAGTTTCTGAAGTGTTGAGATAACAATCCATTCCTGTCTGAGCTTTGATGTGCTTTTTGTCCTTGTTTGTCTGTCTGGAGGAGTTTCTGAGATTGTTTTGCTCCAGTAACGTGGAACAGGTCATCTCTACCTGCTCGTGCGATCACTTCAAGCAGTCTGTGTAAGAGCA